TTTACAGGAGTTAATATGTACTTGAAAATATAACTGACTCACAGCCTAACCTCACCATACCCAACCTAACCTAAACCAACCGACAGATAGGCATACACTTCGATATCCCCCCTCCCTGCTCCCCTATGTAAGGTGAGAAGGGAGGAGGGGGGGAAGGGGAGGGCTTCAACATAATCCAGAGAGTGAGTTGGTCTCCACACACACCTGGTTACTGCGTCACCTGTACACGCGTGTCAGCCTCAAGGTCGACACGTGAGGAGACTGTGTGAATTGAAATATGCTTGGCCTTATACTTTGAATTACTGACTATACACGTGTGAGAGAGAGAGAGAGAGAGAGAGAGAGAGAGAGAGAGAGAGAGAGAGAGAGAGAGAGAGAGAGAGAGAGAGAGAGAGAGAGGGGTTAAGACATGGGGCATAGTCAAGGGGTAATCATTTATTCTTTCTCTCTCTCTCTCTCTCTCTCTCTCTCTCTCTCTCCACCCAGGCACACAGTGTGGGGGCAGGGGAGAGAGGGTGCAAACAGGTTCTTGGGAGAGTTGACAGACTAGACCTCACCTCAGACCAACGACCACATAAGTACACTTCACCATAAAGTACACTTACCACTTAATGCTCTCTCCACACACACTTATAATGGGTATAAGGTGTGAGGTATAAGTGTGTATCAGGGTGAGAGGATGAGATGGTTGAGTGACTCTCTCTCTCTCTCTCTCTCTCTCTCTCTCTCTCTCTCTCTCTCTCTCTCTCCTTCACACTACAGAGTTATTCGAAGGTGTGTGTGTGTGTGTGTGTGTGTGTGTGTGTGTGTGTGATTATTGAGTGTGTGTGTGTGTGTGTGTGTGTGTGTGTATAGCAGGTATTACCAAACACCTGAGGGCAATAATTACTCAGTTTGGTAATACTTGTATCTGTCGTGTTTAGGGAAGGTCACACCAGATTAACAGTATTTAACATTTAATTAACATACACGTTTAACTTAACTCACCCCAGGGAAATTATCAAGGGGAGTGACATCTTTTGAGGGAAGTGGCACCTTAGGGGAAGTGGCACCTTAAGGACTGGGATGGCATTTTAGGGGATGTGATGGCACCTTCGGAAGTGGAGTGGCACTTTAGGGGGTAGAATGGCACTTAAGGGATAGAGTGGCACTTAAAGGAATAACATGGCACTTAAAGAGATGACAAACCACAACTAATTCAATATACTTCATGGCAACCCACAGGTAAATAAACACACAACAAAATCACAACATATCAAAAAACACAAACAATAACGCAACCTACTGTTCTTTTGTTCCAGACATAACAAAAAGAACAATAACAGGTAATAACAGGTGAACAAAGATCATTTAATTATGGAGTGTTACGAGTAAACTAGTGATAAACATTTACAGAATATCAACATCAATGGAAACATCCACACAATTGGGACAACATTACGGTTTCCTTGATCCTAATACCCATGTTGAGGTGACCTATGTACTGTATGTTTGTGTCTACTGTGTTTGTATTGACTTTTTTCCTGCTACTTTTTTTCCTGCGACTTTTTTCCTGCGACTTTTTTTCCAGCGACTTTTTTTCCAGCGACTTTTTTTCCTGTGACTTTTTTCCTGTAACATTTTTCCTGGATTCCCCCTATACACCCTCACCCCTACCCTTCTCCCCCCACCCACCCCTACAACAACCAATAACCCCCACAACTACAACATAAAGATATATAATGCCTACCACAACACGGGTATATATTATAGGCAGTATATCGATTATATCAGAAGAATTATATTGTAATGTGATATATAATCTATATTAGATTTGATTATATAAGTTGAGGGGTGTGTGTGGTGGTGTGGTGATGGTGTGTGTGGTGGTGTGGTGGTGGTGTGGTATAGTGGTGGTGATGTGGTGGTGCTGGTAGCTAGTGGTGTTAGTGATGGTGGTGCTAGTGGTGGTGTGGTAATATTGCCATGTCATTAATGTTAATGAGTGGAAGAGGTAAAACATCCCTCCCACCCCCTTCCCTCCCTCCCTCCCTCCCTCCCTCCCTTCCTTCCTTCCTTCCCGTGATGGTGGACAGGCAGCAGGCAGACAGGCAGGGAGCAAGCAGGCACCCTCAGCCCCTCCCTCCCTCTCTTGTTGACACTCCTGCTCTTTGTGACGTCATGTGTTTACCATCGTGTAGGGCGCGCTCCTCCGTGTAGACCTTTTTGATGTTACACACACACACACACACACACATATATACATACATACCACACGTACACAAAATACAAGCTGATCTATGCAATTATCATGACATCACACAAACACACACACACTGTCTCTTTATCTCTCTTGCGTGCGTGTGTGGTTGCGTGAGAGGGCATGCGTGTGTGTAAGTAACCTAATCTCAATGTACTTCCCACCGTCAAACCTCAACACCAATTACTATTTTAAGCCACTGTAACGAACCGCGCCACCAATTGTCATGATCTACCTTCCCAGCACTACGAACCACGCCATCTATTGTCATGATCTACCTTCCCAGCACTACGAACCACGCCATCTATTGTCATGATCTACCTTCCCAGCACTACGAACCGCGCCATCTATTGTCTTGATCTACCTACCCAGCACCACGAGCAACGCCATCTAGGGACGAAACACGAGTATGACTCGTCTTAGTTACCACTCCGGGGTTTCCCTTCTCCATATCCTGGTTGTTGCGTCACTTCCTCCAAGTCTTCTTTGTCAGCTCCAATTCGAGGAGAGAGCAGTACACTCTGGGAAGTGACCACAGGATTACCTATCCTGGAAACCTACGGCACAGTGACTACCTACCGTCTTCTACAATACTCAGCCTTGCTCGTCAGCCATCTCAGCTCCGCACGTAAGTATTTGTAATCTTATATTGCCTCCCCCCTCCACCTTGCTTCAAATTATTGTATGTTGTATAAATATGTATATACTGTTAATGTTTAGGTTAAGTATGGTTAAGGGTAAATTATAGAACGCTGAATATTTTGTTAAGGGATTTATGGTACTTTATTATACACAACAAAAACTCGCATCCTTTGTCTACCCTTTTATAGTCCGATTGTCCTTGTTTTTTTTTGTTGTTGTTGCCTGTTGGGATCTGGGTAGACTTTTAACTATATTCTAAATCCCTAACTCGTAACACCACAAACAATACATAATGTGTATAAATATCATGACGCCGTTACCCACCAAGATAACACCCTGGTTGTGGCTCCCTCTCTTCCTGATGTATTAACTTAACCTAACCAAACCTCGTCTAACCTAACGTACCTAACCTAGCATAACTTCACCTAACCTAGCATAGCCTAACCTCGTCCAACCTATCCTAACCAAACCTCGTCTAACCTAACGTACCTAACCTAGCATAACTTCACCTAACCTAGCATAGCCTAACCTCGTCCAACCTATCCTAACCAAACCTCGTCTAACCTAACGTACCTAACCTAGCATAACTTCACCTAACCTAGCATAGCCTAACCTCATCCAACCTATCCTAACCAAACCTCGTCTAACCTAACGTACCTAACCTAACATAACTTCACCTAACCTAGCATAGCCTAACCTCATCCAACCTATCCTAACCAAACCTCGTCTAACCTCACCTGACACCTTGAATCGGAACACTGTGTACACCTCATAATAAAGCCATATACACATAATATATCAATGTATGTATCAATGTAGTTGGGTTAAGTTAGGTTGGGTTAGGTTAGGTTAGGTTACGTTAGGTTAGGTTGGGTTACGTTGGGTTACGTTCGGTTAGGTTACGTTGGGTTAGGTTGGGTTACGTTAGGTTAGGTTGGGTTACGTTGGGTTGGGTTACGTTGGGTTAGGTTGGGTTACGTTGGGTTAGGTTAGGTTACGTTGGGTTAGGTTAGACCCACTTGGGTATATAATCCACCAGTTTCACCCAATAGTTTAATAGCCATGAACCCCCCCCCGCACCCACACACTATATCAAGAACATCTGACCTTTGACCTAACGCTGTGACGATGACCTTTGACACAGTTTATGATGTTGGCGCGTAGGGAGATGATTCACACACACACACACATTTAAATCACTTCACATTCAGTATTCCAGCGAGGGAGGTAGGGAGAGGAAGGGGGAGAGAGAAGGAGGAAGGGGGAGAGAGGAGGGAGCGGAGAGAGGAGGAGGGAGGGGGGAGAGAGAGGAGGAGGAGAAGGAAGGCAGGGGAGGGAGGAGAGGGAGGGAGAAAAGGTCATACGTCAATGACCTCCTCCCTCATACTCCATGACCTTGCCTACACCACCATAGTGACGTCATAACCACCCAGAACATTACTATGCATGACATCATCACCACGGCTTCAAAATGGCGTCATGAGCTTACACACACACACACACACACACACACACACCTTATCACTGTCTTATCTGTTTGTACTCGTGTACTCATTCCATTGTTGAAGTGTGACCAGCAAGTACATTATCTCACTAAAGGACGAACTCTAATGTACTTGATACACTCTAGTACAGTTTAAGTACAGTTTAAGTACAGTAGTTTGATCACTAATGCACTTAATGTATTTGTAAGTACATTTGGGTGTTCATTTCAGTGAGGATATTGTAGTACTGAAACCTCTACTTAACGGACTATATGGAGGGTGTGTTAGATGTGAAACCCTCCATATAACGGATTATATAGATGTGAAAGTCCCTTATTTGGAGGTTTCACTGTATGCCCCGAAATGTACTTTACACAATTAATACAGTTAAATACTAAATCATAACACGACTACAACAACAACCTACAACAAGAACAAGAATAATCTACAAGAACCTACAACAACAACAACAATCTCCCACAACAGCAACAACCTACAACAATCTCCAACAATAACAATCTACAACAATCTCCTACAACAACAACAGATTCTAAACTAAACCCAATCAATTATACTTCAAAACATTCAGGTCAAAATAAAAGTTATCCTGGTACGACAACTTCTCCCGTACTCACCGGCAGTAACTGTAGCGATGCCAGCCGCAAGAGTGTGGATCCTGAAAATTGTAAATAGATAAATAATTAAGAGTCGAGTGGCGTAATACTGACATTTGAGGCATCGAGGCAGCTGTCAACGAACGCCAAATGAATTAAAATTATCTGATAAAGATGTATACTGGTGCTCTGTGTGTGTGAGAGAGAGAGAGAGAGAGCCAACCTACAGACAGACCTCAGGGTGTGTGTGTGTGACCTGCAAACACTGGGCAGGGGTAAAAGTTTGGGTTTAACAGGAGAAGTGAGCATTATCTCTGTGGCGGTGATAAGGGGAGAGATTGTAATGTTGTGTGGGGAGACGGACGGTCATTCACCCCAGGAGGAGCCAGCCGTGTGTGTGTGTGTGTCTGTGTGTGTGTGTGTGTGTGTGTGTGTGTCTCCTTTGTCCCTCCCTTCTCTCCCGACTCGATAATTTGAGACACTGTTCGTATCCCTTCTGTGTGTGTGTATGTGTGTGTGTGTGTTGGCATTCATACACACACAAAGCCACCTCTCACACAATATATAGAATACTAAGCCAACACACACACACACACACACACACACTTGACCCACCTACTTATATCCTAGGTATTGCCCAAGACCAGTGGTACTTCGCTTTAACACACACACACAGTCAACTAAACTCTCACAGACGCCTTGATTCCTCCCTCCCTCCCTGGGGCGACTATCTCAACCTGAGGGAGAAACAAAAGAAGGGAGATGGAAAGAGACGAGAGAAGCGGAATGAAGAGAGAGAGAGGGAAAGATGGAGGAAAGATGTTAAATGAGAAAAGAGACAGCGAGAGTAGGAAAGGAGGGTGGGAGAGTGTGAGAAGAGGTGAGAAGGAAGAGTAGGCAACAAGAAGGGGGAAAGAAGGCAGTAGCAAGAGAAGAGGAGGAGGAGACAGGTAAGAGAAGGGGGGAACAGGTAAGAGAAGGAGAAGATAGGCAAGAGAAGGAGGAGACAGGTAAGAAGGAGAGGCAAGAGAAGGAGGAAAAGAGGCAAGGAGGAGAAGTGAGGCTAGAGGAGAGAAGTAATAAGAGCAGAGCAAGAGGTTCAACAGGTAGGCAGGCAGGTAGGTGTCAAGGGCGCCACCTACCTCCCTTAATTACCCCCCTATTAAATGCCACACACAGACACACACACCTGTCATTCTCCTTCAATGCTGAGATATAAGGCTCGCTAATGAGAGAGAGAGAGAGAGAGAGAGAGAGAGAGAGTCAGTATGCGTGATAGAGAAAGACAGTGTGTGTGTGTGTGTGTGTGTGTGATCCAGTAGAGGCTCACCTTGACCACTAGTTCTTACAACACCCAACCTGAACAACTCTCAAATATAGGTAAATCCCCCCCTCCTCCTTTTTCTCCTCATACCACTTATACCCTCCTACTACTACTACTAACTGACACTCTCTCTCTCTCTCTCTCTCTCCCAAACAGGTGTAACATGGTCTATAAACGTACGCCATAAACACCTGCTCAGAACTGTCACAAAAACACCTGTATAACACACACCTGTATAACACCATAGACAATAACCAGGTAACATACTACAGTAGATAAAGATTAGACCAAGAATATAAAGCGACTCCATTGATCTGCAGGTGCTAATTAGTAGAGGCATGATGGGAGCTAATTAAGGCCCTAGTATCCGCCATCCAGGTGTAAGAGTGTAATAGAAGTCGCCGTAAATCACACAGGTAAATCGCCTCTGGTTAGGTATTTATGCTTTTGAGTTTTATTTTTATTTATCGAATTATTATTATTATTTTCATTATTTGATTGACTGTATAAAAATATTTGTTTATGTAATGGATTTGTGACGGTAAATAGATCCTAGTTAAAGTAATCTAGTGGGCGTGATGGACTTGTGGGTGGCGTGACGGATTTGCGAGTGGCGTGATGGACTTGTGGGTGGCGTGACGGATTTGCGTGTGGCGTGACAGACTTGCGTGTGGCGTGACTGACTTGTGGGTGGCGTGACGGATTTGCGAGTGGCGTGACGGACTTGCGTGTGACGTGACTGACTTGTGGGTGGCGTGACTGACTTGTGGGTGGCGTGACGGGAGCATACACAATATTCAGACGTTATCACAAGAGGTTAAAGTCTATGTATATTAATTACGGGAGCATTTAAACCACGCCAAACACACAAGTCTGATAAGCTGACACAATTACAAACAAACCGCCCGTCAGCAGTGCCTTCGTCAGCGGGTACTAACGTCAGCAAATACCCATCTACGCCAGTGGGAGTTAACACAGTCATCACATCTTCACTACACCACACAACAGACAGACAGACACGCCCGTCCCATAAAGCAATCGGTACATTACACACCTGCTACAAAGGACGCCATGTACACCAGTCCAGAGAGAGAGTAAATGGGGGGATGGGCGGGATGAGGTCGGTAGGGAGGTGGGAGGGAGAGGACAGTAGGTAGGTGGGGGCGGTAGGTAGGTGGGTGAGCGAGGACAGTAGGTGGGTAAATGAGGGCGGTAGGTGGGTGGGTGGAGGAGGTTCAACGACCCGAGGAGAGGGGAGTGTACCAGCCCGGCCCAGTCCAGCCTTGGTACCTACTAGCTATTGATTACCCTCACCTGCCACCCACCTACACCCTCCCCTACCGTCTACACCTGCCACCCACCTACACCCTCCCCTACCACTCACCTACACCTGCCCCTAACAATCCATACTATGTTCAGGAGAGAGAGAGAGTGGTGCTTGGTGTGAGAGAAGAGGTGACAGCATGGGGGGAGAGGTAGGTAGTGAGCCGAAGGTAGGGGAGCCAAGGTAGGTGCCGGTACGTGTAACAGCTGGCACAAGTGAAATGGGCCCCAGTCCAAATGGACCCCTATCCCAAGCCATTAAACCTGGTAACCAATCAGGACATGGACCCCAATCCCAGGGCTATGATTGGGGAGAGATGAAAGCCCATTCAACCACTCTCTGGGAACGACATTGGTGGGGGGAGGATTAGGTAAGGGTGTGTGTGTGTGTGTGTGTGTGTGTGTGTGTGTGTGTGGGGAGAGGGGCCAGTAAGGGCAGAGTATGTGTGTATGGGTAGGGGGAGGGGGAGGGTAGGGGCAGGACAGGATTGGGTAGGGGTGTGTGTGTGTGTGTGTGTGTGGTAGAGGAAAGAGGGGTTAGTAAGTGGATAGTGTGGTGTGTGTGACAAAAATACGGGGTTAACTTTGAGGGGTGGTAATGCGTGTTTGGTACAGGAAGCAGGTGGTGGTGGTGATAGTGGTGATGGTGGTGAGTGATGATAGTGACGTTATTGGTAGTGTGGTAATAACAGTGTTGATGGCAGTGGTGGTGGTGGTGATAGTGAGTGGTGGTAATGTATACTAAGGAACACGTGAAGAGGGGAGGGGAGGGGAGGGGGAGGAGGAGGGGAGAGGGGGAGAGGTTGTCAAGAGTGGCCATGGCCTTAAAGTTAAAAAAATCTTCCTCATCTACGTTTCTTTCTCCCTCAATTTGCTTCCATTCCTCTCTTAAAGCCGTCTGGGGGGTGGTGTGAGGGAGGGGGGTGAGGTAGGAGAGAAGTGTGAATCACGGAGCAGGGTAATAACTTAGAAAGGGAGAAGAATAAACAGGATAGAGAGAATAAACGATAAAATACACGAAATGAGACAAAGTGAGCCCTCAACCTCCACAGCGATTCAAAACAGTTTCGTATCTATTCACTGTGTAGGGCAAACCGGTGTCATCTCTCAACACTTCACTACAGCAATTCAACGTTAATATCACTACACTACAGCATTTCTACATTTAACATCACTACAATACACTACAACAAATCTATGTCAACTCCAAAACACTTAATATCACTACAGCAATTCAAAGTCAACTAGATAATATGAAAGAGGATTTATTCCACTGAGGTCAAAGGCTTCAAATAGTTCAAGTGGTGACCAAAACAATGCAGGAACGAACCACCCACCTTGAGGCATCCCAAGGTTATAAAATAGCGATGGTTTCTTGTACGTTGATTTGTCTATTAAAATGAGTGAACTAATCGTTGCTTTACGATACTAACGAAACATAACATTGGTATATCTCTCCATGGTAACTGTGAAGGTATAAAATAGGAAGAAAATAGGAGGGAAATATGGGAAATATTATAAGCGAGAGGGAGGAATGTGTAGTAGGGTACAGACAGACACAAACACAGACAGCCAGCCATCAACACCTTCCCCTGGGCGAAGTGTGGCTATGGTTGACAGTAGTGACCGCATCTTTAACCCATTCACGGCAAGTGACTAGACTCCATCCAACACCCATCCATCCATCCACAACCATCATTTATTAACGTCTTCAACTAATTCAACTTATCTTAATGTTAGATTTTAAAATACACTACAACTTACTACAGAAATACATTACATAACACTTAGGAGTAATATATTAGAGCATTAACAGTATTCTCAAAGCGTTCCCAGTCAGCACTAGGAAAATATGTTCACACCCAGCGAGAAACATCAAGTTCCCGCCAAATTTATCAGAGTCGATGTTTAGCCGAGAATACATGAATACTTCACCCTCCAGCGCCTCAACATGATAACAAACAAGGAAATCACACCGCAAATGTTATCTTTTTTTTTGTTATATCTCCAGGTAATTACCTCCCAAACTGCTGGTAAAATTTTGGTTATGCAATTGTGCGGTTGGCAGCACTGCACGCACGGACGCTACGCCAGACAGCTGATCACACCAAGGCTGCCGGCCCCGGTCTCTGAGTTCGATTTCCAGGACGAACCACGGCCGTAAACTAAACATTACCCATTAAATACCTTAACCAAACGTACTTTAACCAACATTTCCATAGTTAATGACTACATTAACCATGAGAAGGAATGTAGCGGACTCAAGTCATGATAATTGGCTGGTGTACCGCTAGAAGTTAATGACAAACACGCACACACACACTACGGATAATTATATCTTTGGAGTGATAAAGTACAGCAGCATGTAATCACGCCGCTGTACCCCCTGGGATGAAAACTAAACCTGCCGGCCGC